CAGCAGTGGGTGAAGAAGGGGGGGGAGGGGGTGTCCATTCCCAATTTGCAGCAAAGGCCCCCAGGGATCAGCTCTGTGCTAGAACCAGCAGCTGCCTGCACCTGTTCACTCTGGACCCTACTGAGGACCTGGTATAGCCACACTGCAGGGGTCCTCATGCCCCACCAGCCCCAGACACCACCCACCCCAGTAAGGGGGAGAGAAGGGGGCCACTATGGTTTAACTCGTTTTATTTAGACTCATAAAGGTAACTGCGGCCCAGCTGGACCGTGCACATGGGGCTGAGACCCAGTAGAAACGCAGCAGTAAGTCAGGAGCAGGGTGGGATGGGGTGAGCTACAGTGGGCACAGCGCCCAGGCTGCCGAAGGAATGGTCAGTTGTTACAAGGAGAGTTTACGAGAGCTGCCCGCAGTCGGTAATGGTGATCTTCTTGCTTGTTTTGCCATCTTTGGAGCCACAGCGCTCCATGGCCTCCACCACGTTCATCCCCTCCTTGACACGACCGAAGACGACATGCTTGCCATCCAACCTGTAGGAAAAGCACTGGTCACGGCTGATGCCTGCCGTCCCCACACGGGGACCTCGGCACCAGGCCTGGCATGTCACCTCCCTGCCAGGGAGGGTGCCGGGGACCCCTGAGCAGCCCCCGACTCACCATTCGGTCTTGGCAGTGCAGATGAAGAACTGGGAGCCATTCGTGTTAGGGCCAGCGTTGGCCATGGACAGGATGCCAGGGCCTGTGTGCTTCAGGATGAAGTTCTCATCAGGGAACTTCTCCCCATAGATGGATTTGCCGCCAGTCCCGTTGTGGCGTGTGAAGTCACCACCCTGCAAAGAAGCGGCATTTTAGGTCATGGGCGCCAGAGAAGACGCTCGAACCAGGTGCAGCAGCCCTGCAGAGGCTGCAAGCAGGAGGCAGACTGCCTTCCCACCCCAAATCTGCCAGCACCCAACTCCGAAACTCACGCAAGCACCAGATCTCTTCACCCGCCCACCTCCCTGCTGTGGCAGGAGCGCCACGCACCTGGCACATGAACCCAGGAATGATTCTGTGGAAGCAGGACCCCTTGTAGCCAAATCCCTTCTCGCCAGTGCTCAGGGCACGGAAGTTTTCTGCAAAGGAAAAGGAAAACCACCGTAAATGGTGCATTTTGTCCAGAGTTAGGAGAGCATCAGTGTTTGGTGCAGCTGCAGTGTGGCCAGCACCGCTTTTACCAACCTGCTGTCTTGGGGACCTTGTCTGCAAACAGCTGCAAAGAGAAGAGAGGCTGTTAGTCAGGTTGGGGTGAAGACTGGACACTCTCCCTTCCCCCCCCCCACCCTGGGGCACCCCCAGCCCACAGGGATTCCCCGGCCCTTGCTGCTCAGAGCCCAGGGACACCCTCCAGGAGGTGGATCCTGGCCGTGACTGCGGCTGCAGAGCATTCCCCACCTCATGCTTTCATCTGGAGGCATCTGGAAACTCTGAACTAACAGACATGGCATCCAAACGAGTTTAAATATGCCGCATGTCTCATCAGCGGGGCAGATGCACATTCGTTCCGCTGGCTGGGATTAAATTAAAAACCTATTCGACTCGAGCCTTCCCAGCCAGAGCGCACGCCACCTCCCAATTACTCCAGGAAGATTTTGGGCAGCCAGCAGCCATCTGCACGGCGAGGCACTGCCAGGCGGGGAGCGCGCTCCCCGCGGGCTC